CGGCGAGACACAACACCAAAATGGTGCCGTTTTGGGATTTTCTCTTTGGGGCAATTCGTCGAGCGGTTGGTGGGCACAATTTCAAGCTTAGTGTTTTTGAGGCCGCCAGTTTAGATCGATCTCCGACGACCTTCCGGTGATATTTTGACCATTTCACTTGTTTCAATGTTGAGTTCATGTTAACCTTTATCAAACTAGCCTGACTAGATCACTGTCGGACCGCCGCCGACCGGCAAAAAACTGATCTAAACATGCTCTCCAAGCTTCGAATCCTTATTCTAATCGCTCTGGCCATCTAAACCAATTCAAATCAACATCAGAACATCAATCAAGGTGAGAATCAACTAACTTGAGTGGCTTATGACCACGAGAGGCGCTCCGGCGAGGTCAAGGAAGCTCCGGCGAGAAGGTTTAATGGTGGCCGACTCGGTTTATGCAGGTTTTTCAATCAGAAATGCAATCAAACAATGTAAAACATGATTAAAAAATCATATTAGACCTCAACGGACTCAAAATTGCCATAGAAATCAAATGATCATCAATATCAAACTCAATCTCACTTTTCTGGAGTTCTGAAAAACCATGGCGAGGATCAGATTTTACCTGCTTCGACAAAGGATTAGATGAAGTTTCTGAAGCAAATGATGATCGTGGAGCTCTTCCTCGGTACTTGGACTCTAATCTAGTGGCTTTGGCTTCGTCAGAGAACGTCTGGACACGTCGGCTGAGCTTCACTTTTAGGCGACGGCGATCAGCTTCGTCACAACTTCTCAAGTGAGGAGGTTCACCGTCGAAGCTGATTTGCCAGCGTTTTTCTCACCGGAAAAACGCCGATCGCTTGGTCCTTGGAATCTCGACGCACCTTTGTGTATAATCTCTCTCTCTTTTGTGCTCCTTCTCTCTCTCTCTCTCTCTTTCTCTCTGGAATTTCGTCGAACGTCTTCTCTGCCTGAATCGTGATTTTTTTCTTCTCTTTGTAGCTTGATTTCCCGCCCAAAATTGGTTATCACCAACTCCAAATCAGTCAAATCGAATCTTCGACGCCAGCTGGAATCGGAGATTAACACGTGCTTATTTGGCTAGATTAAGTTGATCAAGAGGCGGGCACGGGATATTGTTCTGGGTTTAGAACGTTCTGAGCGAGTCGGGTGAGGAAGAAGGCTGACCTGGCAGATAAAGGTTGGTCTAAATTCGCAAATTCTACCCGATTTTGACTCTATTTTTCGATTTTAACCCCAAAATTGAATTCCTCATCACATTTCACACCCAAATATGAGATTTGCCCTAATTTTTGTCATGATTAAACCCAAAATTCTCATATTGTAAATTCGGATCATTAGAGTTTTTGTTCAATTTAACATCTAGATGACTTGATTGGGAAAAATTGATGCCAAAATTGGATTACTCATGACTAATTAACCCTATAAATGATGGTCTCAAGGTTCGATAATTTCAAATTGATCATGATCCCCAATTTAGGCTAAAAATCCCTAATTTTCAATCGGGTTTTGGGGCTTTTTTATTTATATGGTAAATTGTGCAATTGGACTGACCATTATGCAATTCAAGGTTCCATAATCATTTGTTGTGAAGACACTACAGCTGAAAAATGACTAGAAATGAATTAATTGAATTTTTGATTCAATTTGGGCTTGTTTTTACCCAATTCTGGGAAAAACACATTCTCAATTGAAATTTTATAAAATTGATGCTGTAATGAAATTGGATTTAAAATAAGACTAATGACTATTTTTATGGAATTTTTGGATTCCATTTGCTATTTTTCTCGATTTTCACCCTTATTTTGACCAAAGGAAATTAAAGAAAAATTCAGGAAAATTTTAAAAAAATCATTTTTGGTTTAGAAATAGGTTCCCAAGCTTGGCCAAGGTTTCTAATTCTAATTTTGTGATTTTTGGAAAAATCTGAAAAGTGAGCTAAAATCAGGTGTCAAACAAATTATTATTTGCAGTGTATCTTCACACGTATTGTTTGTCCATGGGATATTTACAGAAAAACATGTCTGGAGGCAAATGTTGTGGGCTTTGTACTGCCAAATCCATGAATCCAAATTAGCGTGTTCTACTATCACATATCCTGCCACATGGATTTGCAAGCAAAAGACCATTCATTTGTCCTTGAGCTCAGTGCTATTGACCCAGTAAATCAGGTGAATGCTGCCTATTCAGTTTCACTTTATAGGCAGTGGCTTCATAAAGCTGTCCTAGTCTTGTGGATTGCGAAGCAGAGAACAAGAACAATATGATCAGAGAATCGACAGGTGAACCAAGATAAGTGGGGTTCAATGTCCAATCACAAGGCTTAGCAAGAAATGAATTTCATTTTCACCGCGTAATTGGCATGTCTTACGCAACCTCGAAGCTGTCAACAACCATTACCTCTGCATCTTTCAATGGAAATTCCAATTTATGTTCTTTACGACATGCTTTAAAGAAGAACTAAATCGCTCTTACCTGTCAAATCCATCAAAGATTATGGAAGTTCAAAGATGACAAGCCATACGGGTTACATAATTTCAATGGTATCATCCATCAAACAGCATTTCTGAAACAATCTTAGATTTAGGCTGAAGAAAAAGGAGTTGGATCCATGACTTCAACTTCCACTCAAGATTTGAACATGCAATATCTTGTAGACTATGTGGTATTAACAAGGTTGATACTGGTTAACTATAGGCAAGCACAGTAATCTTTCCCTGCTTAATAACTCAGATGGAAAGAGAAAACTTGGTTGTCTTCTCACTGATTGTGGCAATTAAATGCTGGTAAACCCGGTGTATTTCTTTAGTACAACAGATTTTTCATGGTTATATGGATTTTTTTCCTTTATTACCCTGTCTTTTTAGAATAAGTAAAACAACATTATCTCATTTCAATATAGAATAAGTAAAACATTATATTATGTTAGTGACTAAATTTCAAAATCTCCGCATGGTTACCTAACAAATGTCCTGTTTTTATGAGCACATATCCTTGTCTTTGAAATTCATATCCATATTCTCTATTAAAAATAGTCCGAATCTATAAGCAAGTAAAAATTAAACAAGACTACATTGGACTTACCCCCAGAAATTCCATAAGTTGGGGATAGAATTCAAGAAGTTCCCACGGAAGAAGACATCTGTATTTGTGACAAATAACAGGTTGCTTTGGAGAAATTGGTTGAATTTCTAGAAATAGAAGAGAAACTCACGGTATCAGTGTCTCGAGGTGGATTAGAGACAACTGAAGTGAGTTTCTTCTTCAAACATCTCCAAAAGTGGGAAAGGGAAAATGGACACGCTTTCGGTTTGACACTTGGTGTAGGTATACACCTCTCAGAGATCGTTTCCTGGACCTTTTACTGTTCCTAGGAACAAGGAGGCCCTTGTGTTTGAATTACCAGTCCTTTGATAGGAGAATCACTTTGGAAGTTGAATTTTTGAGACAGGCCCATGACCTGGAACTCAAAACTTTTGCTAGTGTTTTCTGATTTGCTGTATAATTCAAAGATTTCTCTCAATTCTGCTGATTCTTTGCGTTGGAATAGTTGTGAACATGGAACTTCTTCTGTAAAATTTCATTGCAGTTAGTTAGTATAGAAAGTTGATGAAGCCAGAGGTGTTTCCTTGGAGAGTTGGACCGTGAAAGCACCGACTATTTATGTGTTTATTTTTTGTTGCTTGGGAAGCAACTTGGAACGTACTCTCACCACAATAAGATTTGCATTAGAGGCAATCGCTCCGTTTATTTTGCCAAGCATTGATCAGGAATAATTCAGCATCTGCAATTTCTTCCTCCATTAATTCTTGTCAACATGAAATTTGTCTTTAGATGTCTGGATTTACCGAATAGTTTTATTGAGGAGAAATCTTTTACGAATGAGGAACATTGGCAGGATGCGTTTTCTTCCTATAGATATTCTTGTTTTGCTGAGCTACTGCTGTCTGGTCTTTCATTTGCAGCTTTCATCTTTTGCCAGACTGGGACAGACATTTCTCACGAGCATAATGAGCTCCAAACACAATTCAGCGAAAATTTTGACTGTTCTGTCCTAGCTACTAACTTCTGCTTTTGGGAAGAACCTAAACCTTACTATGTCCATATTACAGGTCAGTTTTGTGTCAGTCGTCTGAACTTGTTTAATCTCCATATGGAACTGTTCATAAAAGCAACTAAAACAAGGGCTTATTCAATTAGGGATTGAAGAGTTCCTGTCCAAAGCTGATAAGGCCTTTATGTCGAAAAGCTGCATTTAATTATGATTATTCAAAAAATTGGATGCCAAATGTTGATGTCTTCCACTTTATTGATGAGAGAAGGCAATGCAAATGGAGGTCCACTGCACATCCCTCACAGGAAGACAAACACTTAGCAACAATTCTCTATAGCAATATAGGGGCACCGTTACAATTGGTGGGGGGCTTTATAATCCTCTGAAGCACCCCTATCCTCGATTTCTGGATATTGCGGCTGCACATGTCGACATGTTTTCCCCGTCCTTCAACAGCCTTCATGAAATCTCTCAGCTTTTTCTCGATGTCTGCTATTCCGAGCTTTACTGCTTCTGCTCCCTCCTCAATCGGAAAATCAGCTTTCTGCAAAAGCCTCTTGGTCTGTTCCTCCAAAGGGTCAATCGCGCTTCTGATTTTGTTGAGGAGCTTGAGAGCAACAAAGGTACCGGTCTGTAGAGGTTTTAGTTGTAAGAAATTGTTCATGTAAATCATGATGACTTCTCTTGCAGAGTTTCTTGCATTTTGGAATCATAGACATTGTTTGCGTCATTATAGCTACATAAAAATCAAGCCAGCCTCGCGATGTTCATTATGTTAATTGCGAGGACTTCTAGGGAAAAGTATGGATGTTGACTTGGTTTGACGAAATTACGGGGATCGTCACTGTAATTACAGAAAGGGAGGAAAAAGGTTTGTAGTACTCACTGTAATATACTAGGATGCGTGTGCTCGAAATGAAGTTCCTTGAGAAGTGAGATACATGTACCTGCAACATCCCTCCCCATCTTCTTCTTTGAAGCAATGAAGCGAAGCGATAACCAGCAAATGGGCATCGCGCGCAGGCTTCAAGCAATTCTCAAGGGCAGCACAGAAACCGAGGGTGTGCAAGCTATCCTTGAAGTAGCACTCAACAAGCTCGAACAGCTCTTGATTTCTCCAGATGTCTTTCTTGCTATCCAAGATGACCTTGACCACTTCCTGGTTCATCTCCAAGAGGCACTCCGTTATCTCTTTCAGAGAATCCAGTGAGAGAGCTTGGACATCAACCCCGGAAGCAAGAGTGCTGAGGACTTGGTTCGTCCTCACTTGGAGGTTAGCATTGAAGGTTCGCAAATCCGGGTTGGACTCGCACGCTGCTCCGTACGAGCTGATGAGTTCCTTTGGGTACTGGACTTTGGGTATTGAATTGGCGCCTGTTGATGAGGGAACCGCTGGAGGGTTTCTTCTGGTGTTGGAGTTTGCCATTGACCTTCAGGTGAGATCATGAGGTTAAGAAAAGAGAGCGCGAGTACGCTAAAAGGAAAAAAAAATGAAGCGGTCACAGAAGTTTATGTCCCTAAGAGAACTTCAGAGCATGCAAAAAGGAAATTGAAAGGAAGAGTATGGGAAAGAAATCCGAATTATGTCAGAAGATGATCGTCGCATGTCCCAAAAGTTAAACTAATACAAAAGCAATGATACGAGACCATGTTAAATAGAATAGGAATGAAATAACCACTACAGGCAGGCCCAAAACAAGCAATCATATAGAGACTCAAAACCAGAACATGAAACTCTAATTCGAGAACCGAGTCTTTCGAGGTTGACGAACGTTGCCAATCACAATGCATGGTTTATGTGTCACGTGTGGTGTGAAGGACAAGAATTAGATCATTTTGATGAGATTCACTCCATTCTCACATGGATAAGAGACACATTTTATACAAGAAAATATCATACGAGTCTGATTTAATACTGGGATTACTATTGGTTTAATAAGCAAAAAAGCACCTATATTCACTAAATGACTTGAGTAATAAGATTACCAATATCCATGTCCTATACTTAAGTGGCAAAAAGGACGTGGAATTCACAATTTTTTTTGTTTAAGAGCAATTACTTAGCGGTAATAAATAAAGGGTCCACTAAAAAATTAAAAGTTTTATGTTGATCGCTTTGAGAAAAAGAGAAAAATCATAACGGAATTTTTCGAAGTTCAATGAAAAAAAGAGTTCATCAATTGAGAAATCCAAACAATAAAAAATATAAGATGAATTAAGAGATTTAGTACACCTTTTCTTTTTCCTATTATAAATACGGAAAAATATATTTTTGTATCCAATTTTTTGGATCGGATAGCACTTTAACAAAAATGTGAGAACTTTCACACATGACATGACTGCTAAAACGAGGTGACACTAATCTTCATAATTGAGGAAAATGCCATACAAAAAATACCAAAAGTTATTATCATCATGTAATTAAGAAGACAACCGTTTCTCACAAAATTACCATTTGGAATGTTCATCCAACCCTATTAACAATTCAATTCTCACTTCGCAAACAGACAGGCGCATCCACCGACCACCATACTCCGGTAACCAACCTGGCTAAACGTAAACTCAGAAGGAAAAATGAATCGAATGAAATCTATACGAATTTTGATATGAATGTTCATTATTGTCGGGCTACACGTAACAAAGGGCAGCCGTGCATAAGGGTCCGCCTCTTGCCTATGTATTAGGTGACTTTCAAGTGCTTCGATCATGAAGATGCCCCAAAAGAAATCATTTAGGGTCTGTCCGAGAGTCAGCCTATCGAAATGGGCTAATACATACATTTTCAACCTCAAAGAGGGAGTTCTATGAGTTAGGGTTTAAGTGATAATCAAGTGTGGAAAATTCATGAGCGCCTTCTCATATACCTAGCCTGCATGATAATCAACAGAAAGTTAAGATACCACAATCTGTACAAGATCCAAAATCATAACAGGAATACAATCCGACAAGCAAGATTGCTAACTCTTTTTGCACCATTGGATATAGGTTGGACTTTTCCTTACCTAGATGAGCTGCTTCTTGCAATTGACTGCTACGGGGGACAGAAGTTGGAAAAGAGAGAGAGAGGGAGAGGACAAGATAGCTTGTTGAATGCTATGGAGATGAAGCACCCTCTCATGTGAGCTTTTTAGATTTTCAGATTCAAGGATTAACTTGATCCCAACCATATAGATTGCGTGCGAAGGAAGCTAACTATTGGGCATAGTTACCGAGAATGCTCATGCAGGTATCGAGAATGCTCATTCTAAATCAGCATTTCCTATTCTCGAGAAGATACCAAGAAGTTAGGTTTTGAGACGAGCCGTCGATACCCAAGCCGTTCCGTGTCACATTTGTACAGAGATTTGTAATGCATATTACTTGATCAGGCAGACATTATGATACTTCCGTATTTATCATACGATAAAAGCCTAGATATAATGCAGATTACCCCTTTAGTTATTGGATGCTTGCCAGTATAAAACCTTGACAACCGATTTTCCTTTTGTGTTAACTGAATTGTGCTAGAGATAGATTATGTTGACTTGTCTTGTACCTCCTTTTATTTTTCCTAGAGGATTACTTCTTACATCTTCTAGGTAATTATGTTGTGCATCTTGTATTTTCCCAAAATTAGAATAGCATGTTATATCTTATGAAAAGGAAAGGTTATGTTTATCAATGATCATGCTTTTTCCTTAGTTTCAGTAGCTTTCCTATTTCTCTCTTGTTGCCAGTACCTATGGTTTTTGCTTTAGCAGTTCAAGTTATTGATGAGACTCTATAGTTCCTAGCAAGAGGGCATTTATGGTGAGATGTGAACTTCGCCGAGTAGTGGCGGCGGCTTGACAGGTTGATGATGATGCGTGTGGGTGCGCGATGGTGGGTCGTCGGGTGTGGTGGTGCTGTGCCCACTGAAGACACTGAATTTCAGACCGTGAAGCAAGTGGTTGATGAAAAGGGACAACTGCTAGACATTTCACATGGAGAAAAATGGTTTGATCAAGGGAGAGAGAGAGAGAGAGTAAAATCATGTAAAAATGGAAAAACACATGAGCAAAATCATGTGTCATCAGAAAACTATATTATTTTGAATATGTTTCTATTCAGCCAGAGAGTAACAGTGAGCAACAAGACTTAAATTCGATAAGAAATGATGTTGAAGAAGATGAGCAACCTCATAACTTGGCTGCAGGGAGGGCTAAACGGAAAATTAAGCCTCCCTAGACATATGGCATCACTTATTTGGTAGCATATGCTCTTATAGTTGCTGAAGTGGTTGGTATTGAAGAACCTTTACATTCCATGGAGCTACCAATTATTCTAAATTTGAGAAGTGACTTGTTGTAATGAATGAAGAGATCTTCATAAGAACCAAACTTGGGATCATGTGAAATTGGCTAAGGGCAAAAGAGCTGTTGGATGCAAATGGGTCTTCAAAAGAAAGGAGGGAATCCTAGGGTTTGAAGATGAAAGATTCAAGGCACATTTGGTAGCGAAGGATTTTAGTCAGAAGGAGGGGATTAACTTCAAAGAAAAGAGGGAATCCTAGGGTTTGCTCGCATTAGTGGCCCTTAGAACTTGAGCAACTTAATGTCAAGACCACTTTTCTGCTTGGCGAGCTTGAGAAGCCAATCTATATGTCTCAACCCAATGGATTGGTTGTTAAAGGTAAAGAAGATCACGTGTGCAGGTTGAAACACTCTTTGTACGGTCTCAAGCAATCTCCACGGCAATGGTCCAAGAGGTTTGATAGGTTTATGTTGAGTTATGGCCATTCACGAAGTGTGTATGACAGCAGTGTGTGCTATAAGAGATTATGTGATATTTTTTTGTTTATTTGTTATTGTATGTGGACGACATACTTCTTGCAGCGAAGAACATATTAGAGATACAATGGTTGAAGAAGCAATTTAGTAGAGAGTTTGAGATGAAGGATTTTAGAGTTGCCAAGAAGATTTTAGGTGTGGAGATTCGCAGAGACAGACAATGCGTGAAGTTATACCTTTTGCAGAATAGGTATATTGACAAAGTGCTTGAGCGTTTGGGCATGAAGAATGCCAAACTAGTAAGTACTCCTTTGGCGTCCCATTTTAGGCTTTCGGCTTCTTTGTCACCTAAAACCAAAGAAGAGGAAGATGATATGTCTCGAGTTCCATTTTCTAGTGTTGTATGTAGTCTTATGTATGATATGATTTGCACTCGTCCAAACATTTCCGAGGTAGTTAGTGTTGTGTGTAGGTATATGGCACATCAAGGTAAAGTTCACTAGCAAGCAGTGAAATGGATTCTTCGGCACATTTGAGGTACCTCAGATGTGGGTTTGTTACAGGACATTCGGTTGCTTGCCTCGTTGATTCTAGCTATGCAGGCGATCTCAACAAAAGGAGATTCGTAACGGGATATGTTTTTACGATTGGTGGTTTCGTGGTTAGTTAGAGAGCAATTTTGTAAGACACGTTTGCTTTGTCTACCACTGAAGCAAAGTACATGGCAGCGATAAAAGATGCAAAGGAAGCTTTTTGGTTGAACATTTAATTACAGAACTTGGGGTGAAGCAGGAGGGAGCCTCCGTTATTTTTTTTGCGATAACCACAGTGCAATCCAGTAGACCAAGAACGCGATGTGTCACGAGAAAACAAAACAGGTCGACATCCTGTCACGCCCCGAACCCCATCGAGCACGCGACATCCCTCTTCGGTCGAATTAGTGCGACGTCCCAGGAAATGTCGCCGACCTCACGATTACATCAGAGTTCGATCACGGCGGAAACCAATGAAATAAACCCGGACAAAAAAAATTGGAGAACACCAGGAAGAAATAAATCACCAAACCACCAAACATAGAACTATACCTCAATATATAAATATACAACATCCAATTCTTTACAACCAAACACTTCCAACATCCATCAGATTCACATCAACTGATAGTACACACCCGAACGGCTTTCCTGATTACACCACTAACTATTCACATCATGCACTCACTACTTTAATATCAGACTTATAATACACGCACACCAACTGGCTTCTACGGATCGGGTCCTCGACCTCACAAGGGATTAGCAGCCACGGTATATTCTACTCCTGAATGCTCGGTGTGCATCGGGATCCCAAAACGCTGCAACATTAGCGGCGGAAGGTTCAAGGCTCGAGCGGGTGCTCTGAAATGGTTTGGTTGAAACAACCACGAGACACTTCTCAATAAGTCACAACCTAAACCTTATCTAGGCTACCACGTATTCCAGACAAGTCCAGACACCGAATCAAACAACACGCCAACAACGTCCACACAATCGTACTTACAATCACATACGATCCTACCTGGGATCCATCATGCACATCCCTGCATGTCAGACAATAATACAGCCAATTCATTTATATCCATACTCATCCAGCACCATATCACGTGAAGCAAACCACACTCACACATTAACTCACGCCATGCGTCGACTTTCACATTCCTCACGCGTCAAACCAAATCCAGCTCACTCTCAACTTTTCCATCACTACCGCGCCCGCATAAAACGCATCAAGCCAACGGTCTTCTGACCTCGTCAGGCATCGTCACCCCGTCGGGCCGGGCATCGTCACCTCGTCAGGGACGGCATCGTCCCGCGTAAACGAACACGCCTCAGGACGGAATCCTACATTCCCGTACTTTCTCTACCGTGCCTGCGTAAAACGCATCAGGCCAACGGTCTTCTGACCTCGTCAGGCATCGTCACCCCGTCGGGCCGGGCATCGTCACCTCGTCAGGGACGGCATCGTCCCGCATAAATGAACACGCCTCAGGACAGAACTTACCCCGCGTAAACGAACACGCCTCAGGGTATCACTTTTCCAACCAATCCTACATTCCCGTACCTTCGTTCCACTCATTTCACACGTATCACACGGCCACACATACACACGGCCACACACAATCTCACGCCTCACACTCACTTCACAAATGCACATCCTTGCCACACAAACACCACACAATCACACATGCTTGACACGTGAGCTCATTTCGCAATCACACCACACACCTCACGGCCACACACACAGGGCACACGGCCACTCAATATTCAGCCCAACAATCATTCAGAAATCAACCAACAACTACAACCACTTTACAAACACACCATCCACATACAAACACACATTCAGGATCAATTCCCATCACGAGGATAGCAACTATTCAACCTCGACACCCCCACCATTCTGCTCATAAAAACGAACATCCAAAGAATCGGGGTAAAATTGGACAGTTTACACAGTGACCGAAATCCCATTCAAATAAATAGTAAAATAACTCTAAAAATTCTGAAATTTGGATATGTTACGTAAAACATCTTGATAAACATTTTCCGTGAAGAACTCGAAACCCAGTTCCAACTGTAAACACCTCTTTTTGTCCCTTGAAGTCAGATGCAAATCAACCCGTCCGGTCAGGCCGCCTGACTATAAAAATGCATCTCATCCAGTACCCAAATCACTTTGGAAATCCTTGAAATTTTTATATGTCATAGTCACCAATGTCCCCAACAATTTTTGTGAAGTAAGTATTTTGAAAATGGGTCTGGAAAATTTATAAAAATTCGAACAGACCCGAAGGTCGGAGGAACAGTGTTTCCGGCACACTAATTTCGGTCCAAAGATGGACTTCCGAATGGCCTCCAATGATTTCCAAAAATTCTCAAATTAAATTATGTCATAAATCAAGATGTTAGGAGCAACTTTCATGAGAAAACTTCCTCAAATTCGGCCCACAAAATTCTCCACAAAAATAGCAAACCGGACGGGTACAGTAACCGCAAATCCGAGAATCATACTAAACCTCCCGGATTCGAACCCCAATTGATTTCTACCGAATTTCAACCACCAAAACTCATTCCCCGACGTCTAATCCAACACGCAACATCCACTAACAGCCATGATCAGCCACCAACAATCGCGATCAACACCCTAATCAACCCTAAACTACCCTAAACCGTGTCTAAACGAGTCCGATAATACCCGATGTCCTAGGCGAGGGTTAGATTGCGACTTACCGAGCCCTAGACTATCTCGGCTAGAGCGTTATGCAGCGGCGGACGACTGGGACGACGGCGGACGGCGAGCGGCTCGGCGCGGCGGTGGCGGTACGGGCGGCGGTGACCGGCGGTGATGGCTCGGCGGCGATCGGCAAGGGAAGAGAGGGAGAGAGAGTCCACGGTGGGGGGGGTGTGTTGCCGTGAGGGAGAGAGAGGGGAATGAGGAGAGAGAGAGGGTGTCTTGACTCAAATAGTGAAGATTGGACCAAAAGTGGCAATTTACAATCTTGCCCTTGTCTAATCTTTTCAATCAACGGTCCAGATTCGATCTTATCTTGAAACCGACGGCCGAAATCGAATCTTACCAAAAATATCCAAGGGTAAATTGGGAATTTCATAAAATTCCAAGGGTAAAAATGTTCAACCAAAAAGTTAGGGCAAAATGACCAAAATGCCCTTGCCCAAAATAACTAACCCTTTATAAGTCGTTAGAGGCAAAATGGTCACTTTCTTCATTTCTCATCGAAAATGAATTTTTCTGAAGGAATCGGGACCACCGAAAATTACACGTTCCATCCGCAACGTCGTCCTAACGTCCTGTTGTGACTTCCAAATTTTTCCGATGTCCAATTTGGGCTAAATTAAATAATCAAATTTTTCTAAACGCAACTCGAGCGTTTCTCAAACTAACGGACGGCTTGTTGGGGAAATTCACATATCCGACCCGTGACTGACAATAATTCAGGTCACGTGCAAGTTCGTTCGGTTCGTGAC